AGAGTGATGACACCGTATTATTTTCATTTAAACAAGCCCCATCAGCAGAACATAAGACCACTTATTGATGTATTGAAGTGAGCACTGTCTCATTTAGAGAGGGAAAGGTTGAAAGCTGTCACTCTTCTTATGCTACTAATCAAAGTTCCCCCTAAAACCTGTGTAAGTCATGCACAGGTGCTTTTCTTCTGGCAAACAGGAGGCCTGAGAATGTTTCCCGAGCTCTCTGCTGAAACACAAGAATGCTCTGATAACTCTACCGAGATACACTCACTTAACACACTTTGCTAGCCACAACACTGTTCCATCTGTCCTCAATCTCCCTGAGTATTTGTGTGTGTGTGTGTGTGTGTGTGGTAGCTCTGCTCCACAGCTGACGGCTGTGTGTTCCGGTTGTAAGAGCTCTTATCTTAGCTTGTCAAATTTCACTTTAAACCTTTGGGGTTTCTCTGTTTTCTAAAAGATGAGTATCTGTCATTTTACGATGAGCACAGAGACATAGCTGTACTTGATTTGAGTGTAATGTACCTACTCTTCTTTCTGCTATATGTAAGATTATATGTAAACCTTTGGTGCACCAAAGTCCTGACAGTGACAGGTTTGTGAGTGGGTATAGAAGAAACAATTTGAGTTTTACTGTAAATGAAACTGGTCAGACAGCTTTCTTTTGTTCCATTCACGGCTGTAAAACCAAGCAAACCATGCTGGTTGGTGGCCAGAATTGAAAAACTAAAGGCCAAGATTGTCTTTTGTCATGAAGTTTGCAGTCTGAATAATAATTGATGTTCTTAACTGTACAGTAAGTCAATTTTTTTAGGTTCTGTAATAGACAAAAAACATTTTCTTGACAAATATACATAGATTAGTGTATAATTACATCTTCCGCCACGTTGCCCTGCCATCTTGAACGCAGTGGCGAGATAGACATCGCTATTTAACCTAATCACATTTTATGTATGTCTTGAGATGACAAAGTTACCTTTGATTTAAAGATCACAAATGGCTCTTTCAAACTATATATGACATTTAACACTCGTACATGTGTTTTCTTCTTCTCATAATGCCTTTCTCCACCTCCTTGTCATCTGCCTTATCCACCGCTGCTCTTTCATTTTCACCTCCTCCTCCTCACCTCAGGCCTTAACTCCTGAACTTAAGACAGAGCTGTAAGACACAAAAAACTTGAATAAATATACTTATTTATTCTTGATACTGTCACAATTACTTATTGTCAGCAGATTAGACACGTGATCCTCCGGACAGCTGACAACGAGCTGGCTAAACAGCAACAGCTGGTTGTTAGCTAACATCATGCCAGCTAATGTTACCTTTTCCTCTGATAAAGAGCTGTTTACTTTCTCACACTGTATGCAAGTTTATTCACTACTTGTTGGAGTTTAGCGATGTTAGATCCACTTCAAAGGAAGTTTCACTAACAGAGGCTAACAGCAGAAAATACAGCAACACTTTATCACAGAAAATTTCAGGATATCCTCAACAACTCACCTGGCCAGCCCTTGTGATGGGGTGGCCAGGTGTAAATAAATTTATGCACTTCAATTGGGAGCACTAAAAAAAACAGAAATCACTTGAATGCAGTCTGCTGATCTGTACTGGTGAGAGTTTACACATGTTCCTTTAAGTGTTGGTGAAACGGGACTTTATACATATCTTAATTAATGTTTGACCTCAGTAGAAATCTTACATGTGATTGAAGTAAGTCTGTTTCATTAACCACTGTGAACACAGTGCACATAGGAAAGGCAAATGTCAATAGCAATAAAGCTGGTGCATGTTCCTTTTTAGGACTGGGCAGATCAATAATGTTAGCTGCTAGCTTATTCATCTCTGTAGCTCCCATTCATCATATATACAAAACGCATTACCTGTTTTTTTTTCCTTTTTCTAAGGAAACTATATCTCGGGCGAGGTTTATAATTGTTAAAGCATGCAATAACAGGCTATAGGAGGAGTTGTGCCATATCACTCATTGATGCAGCAAAG